CATAAATACAAATTTTAGCTTTATTTTACATAGGATGGAAGGATTGTAACATAAAACCTGGGTATCGAATTCTTGCAGTGACACTGAATGTCAACATCTGGGCTCATAACAAAGGGAGAGCTGCACGTCTTGTCTTTCATTACTATGTATAAATATAATAATAATAATAATAATGGCCAGTCTTCGCGAGCGAAGATTTGGGAAAGGTCATTAACCCTTCGAGCCTGTGCAATTATAAGGAAGCCCTTATTAGCAGCAAGTGAATAATTTTCATTTTTTTGCCTAGAAAAGGCCACAGGTTTTAGGGCAGAGGATGCACCTTGTCCTGCACCGACCGAGCCCTGCAACAGGTCAATCCCAGTGTGGATGTGTCCAGTCCTGTCCCAGCGATGGCACCCAGGCCACGGCCACCACCGCTGCGGCATTTTTCTGTCAAGCACCGCAAATACCACAACGATAGAACAGCTCTGCTCCAGCCGCCCGGGCTGGGCGCCCCTCAGGGAGCCACCCAAGGCGAGGGCCCGAGCCTCCCCTGGGGCCGGCGGGGGTGCGGCGACCCCTCACCTGCACCGTTCCGCGCCTCTGTGGGGTCGGGCGGTGGGGTCTGGCTGCTTCCCGGCTGGATCTGGGCTCTGTCCCGGCTGGATTCGGACTGAGGGGGCGGGGCCGCTCCCGCCCCTCACGGCCCCGCCGCCCGCCAGGGGGCGCGCGCGCGCGCCTCCCAGCCCCGCCGTGACGCGAGCGGCGCGCGCCGCCGCGGTGCATGCCGGGCCGGCGGCGGGAACATGGCCAGCGACTTCTACCTGCGGTACTACGTGGGGCACAAGGGGAAGTTCGGGCACGAGTTCCTCGAGTTCGAGTTCCGCCCCGACGGTGAGAGCGGGCGGGGGCCGGGGGGCACCGGGAGGGACGGCTCTGCGCTCCCCGAGGGCTCGGGGCCGGGCCGCCCCGGCGGGGTTTAACGCGCGGCCTCTCCCCGCAGGGAAGCTGCGCTACGCCAACAACAGCAACTACAAGAACGATGTGATGATCCGCAAGGAGGTAAGTGAGGGGGGCGGCGGCGCGGGGCTCGGTTTCCCTGCTGGAATGGTGTGTGCAGGGGTTGTAGTTCCATGTTGGGATGTTGTGTCCAGGCTTACGTGCACAAGAGCGTGATGGAGGAGCTGAAGAGAATCATCGACGACAGTGAAATCACGAAGGAAGATGATGCTCTGTGGCCGCCTCCGGACAGGGTGGGCCGGCAGGTGGGTGCATCTAATCGATGCTTTAATTTCCGTGGGTAGTTTCTTGGAAGCATAACAGAACTTTCCCCTCAAGGCTGTGTTGATTCCAGCCAAAAGGGAAACAATACTACCTTAAAACCTGAGTAGTGACTCAATGGCAGCTTAGCTGGGGGAGTTAATATGATTCACAGACCTGCTGCACTCAATGTCTCTGTAATAGAAATTTGTAAAAAAAAAAAAAAAAAAGTTATCACAGTACTTAAGTATTTCGGTAACTTGTACCACAAAGCAGTAGAGTTCCCATAACCTTTTATTTTCCAGGAGCTTGAGATAGTAATCGGTGACGAGCACATCTCCTTTACCACGTCAAAAATCGGTTCACTCATTGATGTAAATCAGTCCAAGTACGTACCCTGCTTTTTTAAGTTGCTGTTGTTTTTATTTAACAGTCTATATTAAACTTGCTGATTACCGGGTACCTGTATTTTACACTGTTTCAAGGTACAGATCAGTTCCTGGGGACACTGCTCTGTGTTGCAGTGTGATGTACCAGCTGCCTTTAGACTGTGGCATTACACGTATTTTCAAATACCTTGCTATAGGAACCCTGTCAGATGTGTTCATAGGCCAAACTGACCTGCCATTCACCTGTCTGCATCAATGTCTTTGGGAGAACTGAGATTTCTGTATTTCACCAAAGCTGAAAAGATTGGCTGTCACGGTTGATTGGTTGGTTTTTTTTAATCCTAAGTGCTGTTGCTACTTGGCTTTCATGAAAAAAATGCACATTTTGTCAAGACTTAAAATATGCAAACCTGGAATGCAAAATGTTTTATCCATCAATGTAGAATGAAAAAAAATCTGTTCATGTCTAAAGTGACCTCCAGAAAGTCTCCTTACAGGCTTTGGTTTTTTTTTAATAGGTTAGTTCTATAAACTCTTCTAAAAGAGCATCAGTCTTAAACTTCTTTTGTTTTCTTTCCTTCTGTTGTGCACTGCAGAGATCCAGAAGGTTTGAGAGTATTCTACTACCTGGTCCAGGACCTTAAGTGTCTCGTCTTCAGTCTCATTGGACTGCACTTCAAGATTAAGCCAATTTAAATCAGACAAATTGAAGTTTGTATTACATTCTGTATGGGGGAATGGGTGTGGGGGGGAGGATGCTGTTCCAGCTCGTCAGGGTTTCTGGCCTGGAGCTTTTATGTATTTCACATTTTTTTGTTGTTGTTAAAAACTGTCAGTGAGTGTCCTTATTAAAAGGATGAGATTTCTTTTTAATTTTTGAGTTGTGAGAGACTGACTTCCTAACACTTCTTTTAGCATGATACACTCACTTGTATCACACACATCCTATATTTCTCTGTCTACACAGCAGTAGAAAATGGAACTAAGCCTGGCTCTGTGAAATGAAACTTCAGCCAGCTGTCAGGATAAACCTTTGTTACTGTCCTGAGCTGGCTGTTCTGTTGGCCAGCCCAAAAGTGCAAACCAGCTGACTCTGCACCTGGTACCTGGTGGTAGCAGACACGCGTCACCTTCCTCATGTCCTGTGCTCACCTGTTTGCCCCCAGAGCACAGGTGGAGAACAGGCCCCCAGGAGCCACCCAGGATCTTCACTGATGCTCCCGTCCAGCTTTGGAAAAGCTTGAAGAGCAACGTAGAATGTATTTAGTTAAGTTCTAGTCTAGCAGATCTGTTGCGCAGCATTAATTAAAAGACTGAGGGGTCTGAGACTCCCTGTGGGCTCTGAGGTTGTTCCCCACAGCAGTGCTGCCAAACTGTGCCCTTGCTTTCTCTGGCACATCTATATTTCCTAAGTAATTCCCACTGCGATTAAAAAACAATTGTTGTTAAATGGCTTTTTAAAGGTGAAAACCCTCATTGCCGGTGCCAGCCCCTCCCGCTTTCCCGCCCCTTGCCGGGGCGGTGACTGGCGCCATCTTGGCTGAGGGCAAGCGCGGCTTCGCGTCGGCTTCAGCCCGGCAGGGAGCGCCGGGCGCGGCCGCCATCTTGGCTGAGGGCACGGCCTCGGCGGGGCAGAGGGAGAAGAGAATTCCACAAAAATTCCACGGAGGAGCGGCCGGAGACCCGCGCGGCCATGGGGGTAGGTGGGACCGGGGCCGGGTCGGGCCGGGCTGATGCGATCCGGGCTGACGCCGCTCCCGCCGCCCCTTGCCTTGCAGAGGATCGGGCTGCAGCTCCGCGCCACGCTGGAGAACATCACCCGGCTGCGGGCCGAGGGCGAGGACTTCCGATGGTACCTCAAGGTGCGGCGGGGCCGGGGGTGTCACACATCCCGCATTAGTGACAGCTCTCAGCTCTCTGACTTCTGTTTTCCAGCTGAAATGTGCGAACTGCGGCGAAGTCTCTGAGAAGTGGCAGTACCTGCGGCTGATGGTGCGTGTCCCTGTAACCTGCCTCAGAACAAAAATGGGAACACGAACCCTTTAGACGAGTTTTTCAATTGCTATATGCAATTAGAGAACGCTGTCATATTCCATACTAAAAAAAATTTGGATACTGTTAATTAAAATATGCCATTGGAATGGTGACTGTTAGTGAGCAACTATTTACATCTGCTCTAAAAAAAAAAACTTTCTGTAAAAATAAAATTTGAAAACAATTTTTGAAGTGGTATCAGAATAAGGTTGTGCCTGTAAATATTTTTCTGATGCTGATGGAATATTTCTGGAGAAATTTAGGTAATTCAAGGTGAGTTAAGCATGCTAAATTAGCACTTGGAAACTGAAAAAGCAGGATAAAAGATAAGGGATAAGAGAAGGTTCCATTCTTCAGAATGATGATCCTTTTTTCTTGCATAATACTGTGTGGCAGGAATGTATTTTGAGGAATTAATAGAACATGCCTATGTGGACCAAGACATAACTATCCACTATTCCCTGTTTTAAGTCTAGAACAGAATTATTCTTTGATAATCGCAGCTTCTTGAATTACTAACCTCGTTTAAAAAAAAGCCTTCTTGTGGCAATATTTTTAAGAAGTGAAAGACTGTTGTAAAAACTGCTTTACCTTTGCAGAGGTTTCCAGTGGCTCAGCTGAAGTGCAGTCACAAATGTCTCTGCTGTCGTGGTTTTTAGGACAGTGCTCCCCTGAAGGGTGGCCGAGGCAGTGCCACGATGGTGCAGAAGTGCAAGCTGTGCTCCAGGGAGAACTCCATCGGTACGTGCTTACATGTTCAACAGGCACCATCCACTTGTCACTTTTTATCCCAAGTTTATTTTTTAGTCCCCATTTTTGCTTGTAAAGAGCATTCACCAGGGATTTCTTCCCTTGCACACCAGTGCTTGAGTTCACAACAGGTACACACTCGACCTCACGCTCATGAAGGAGACAGCAAGGCCTGGTGAGTCCAGGTTTCTGCATGAACAAAACTCATCTGCAATGTCACTTTACAAAGCATGCAAATTTTTTTTGCATTGGTAAGGTAACAAAATGGTGCAGTGTAAACTTCTCAGGAGAAGGGAGAAAAAGTGAACTCTACCTTCTGAAGGCCAGCTGCAGGAAATGCTTGGTGACTTTGTTTCTTTTGCTTTGTATAAGGAAATTTCTTTGAAAGGAGAACCTGGTGCTTGGTTTGTGCTGAATAAAACTGAAGACATAATGCAACTCACTTTTACACTTTTTTTTTGTTTTAGATATTTTAAGTCAGACAATCAAGCCTTACAATGTAAGTTTGCTTCCTCTTCTACGTAACGAGAGATAAATTAGCATTAATACTATTTTGAGTTTTTGCTTTATCATCCTCTTTCAAGAACACAAAAGAAGCTGGTATTGTTCCCTGACAGAAATTGTCTCTTGTAGACTCCTGCACAGAGTCTCAAGTGTAGAATAATCTGATACATTTCATAAGCCAACACAGAACTGTATCACTCAAATTAGAGGTGGTTAGGCCTGTATTAGCAGACTAAGAAATTCTAGTTAATGACCACCTATTAAATGAGCCCTAGGATTTTGCTGTCACTTGGGGCATCAGAGATGACAGTACTGCCTTTAAAGCAGTCCATTCCTAAACTAATGCTTGTCACTGTCTCTATTAAATGGAAACTAATGGAATTCTGGCTCAATTACAGGCTGAAGACAGTGAGAAATTCAAGACAATAGTGGAGTTTGAATGCCGAGGTCTGGAACCGGTTGACTTTCAACCACAGGTGAGATCTTACTTGTGATTTGTTTCTCAGTTTTTAAAAACACTTCTTGTAGACTCTAGAGCGATAACATACACATTGTTTGAAATGGTTCTGGAACATCCTAGACCTTCCCAAATTCCCATTCTCCCCATGGGATTCCCATTCACTTTTTTTTCTATTTCATTTGACTCCAAACAAACCCAAAAACTAACAGATAACATTAACAACTCCGGTATTCTTTGTGCCAGGAAAATCTAGCACTAGGCACACCTTGGAGTCTTACTCCAGCTGCCTTACAGGTGACTCAGCACTGCTCACCTGA